TTTTTTTATTTTCTTTTTAAGACTTAAGAAGGTTATCTTTTCCTCTGTGGGTGTAAACGAGAGAAAATTTCACTCAGCAAGGTTCGTATGCAACAATAGAAGTATATGGGGCCTATCCATAGTTAGGGAATAGTAGGGAGTCCGTACGCAAGTTTAGTGCGTATGTTCGTTTTAATATGGAAATGTAAATGTAAATGCATGATAAAGTGCACTGTGAATATATTGTGTAATTCTACTTAGAAGTATAGGTTAACTGCACATAGACCTTGTAATATCACGCTAACTGCACGGACCTTGTCATATCACGCTCGATATAAGCAAATACACCACTGTGGAAAATTTCTCTCTTTTACCCTATGGATGCTTTGCTTGCTTTTCTTTTTTGTCAAGGCAGTGAATTCTAACCCAAGAGTGTATTTAAAATTAGTCCCTCAGGTCATCGAAACTGCTATTAGGTCCCCCAACCTTAAGTTTTTTTCCTAAAAATAATAGAATTAGCTATTAAAAGGATTGATGTGGAACGACTTATGAGAATCGGGGGACATAATAGAAATTTCTATGATGTCAGGTGCTAATTTCTATCTAATTGCAATTTTTCTACCTTGAATTGAGGGACTAATTTCAAATTTCAAATAACTTAAAGAGTTGAGGGACTTAATAGCGGTTTCTATAAATTGAGGGACTTAGTTTAAGATAGCTTAAGAATGTAGGGCCCTAATAGCAATTTAAATGATTTGAGAGACTAATTTTAATTTCAAAATATGGAAGATTTAATGGACTAGTATGAAAATCCTTAAAAATAATATAGTAATCAGAAGGAAATTAGTCTATTGGATTATGTAATTTTTTGTTAAATTCCACAATTATCATAACTTATTTCAAACTAATCACTTTAACTAATAATTTTTCTCTTGATTTGAGGGATAATCAAAATAACTTAAAAATATGGGGACGTACTAGCAATTTCAATGATTTGATGGGCTACTTCTTAAATAACTTAAGAATTAAGGATCTAGTGCCGTTCAATGATTTGAGGGGCTAATTTTTAAAACATGAAAGATTTAAGAGACTGATATAAAAAATCCATTTTTTTAATAAATTGGTAGGTTTTAAAATAAGTGAAGTGAAATTTTGGTGTACATGAAAAAGTGAGAACCTTAAAATATGTGGACCTAATAAAAATTTCAATGATTTGAGGGGCTAAGTTTGAAATAAGTTAATAAATGAGGGATGTATTAGCCATCTCAGCGTTGTAAGGTACTAGTTTTAAGACGTAAAGGATTTAAGGGACTAATATAAAAAGAACATTTTTTAATAAAGAGGTGGGTTTTAAAATAAATGAATGTTAAATCTCGGTTGTATATATAAAAAAAGAGGGGGAAATTGTATCAAGGCCCCAAAAATAAAAACTTAATGTGCTGCAGTCCCTTTGACTTTTTCCCATGTGTTTTAGCCCTTAAATTAGAGATATATACTCTGCAGCTCTTCTTTAGCAATTATTATCTGCCAACTAAGTATAGAGAGAGAATAAAAAATAAAAAACCTCAAAATGCTCTTATCTCCTCTATTCTTTAATGTTAAGTCTAAAAGCAAGTTGAATTAAACTTAACATGAAAGTCTAATTTCATGTTAAGTTCAATTTAATTCATGTTAAGTCTAATGTAATTCCTTTTAAGTCTAATTTAAATCATTTTATGTCTAATTCAACTTGTTTCAAGTCTAATTTAATTCATGTTAAGTCTAATTCAACTTGTTTTAAGTCTAATTTCATGTTAAGTCCAATTTAATTCATGTTAAGTCTAATTTAATTTCTTTTAAGTCTAATTTAAATCATGTTGTTAAGTCTAATTTAATTTCTTTTAAGTCTAATTTAAATCATGTTATGTCTAATTCAACTTATTTTAAATCTAATTTAATTGGACTTAACATGAAATTAGACTTTAAAAAGTTAAATTAGACATGACATGATTTAAATTAGACTTAAAATGAATTTAACATGATTGAAATTAAACTCAACATGAATCAAATTAGACTTAACATGAATCAAATTTGACTTAACATGAAATTAGACTTAAAATAAGTTGAAATAGACTTAACATGATTCATGTTAAGTCTAATTCAACTTATTTTTAGACTTAAAATAACTTGAATTAGACATAACATGATATAAATTAAACTTAAAAGGAATTAAATTAGACTTAACATGAACCAAGTTAGACTTAACATAAACCAAATAGGACTTAACATGAATTAAATTGAACTTAATATGAAATTAGACTTAAAATAAGTTGAATTAGACTTAACGTGATTCATGTTAAGTCTAATTCAACTTGTTTTTAGACTTAAAACAATTTGAATTAGACATAACATGATTTAAAGTAGACTTAAAAGAAATTAATTAGACTTAACATGAACTAAATTGGATTTAACATGAAATTAGACTTAAAACAAGTTGAATTAGACTTAACATGATTTAAATTGGACTTAATATAAACCGAATTGGACTTAACATGATTTAAATTGGACTTAATGTGAACCTAATTAATTAGACTTAACATGAAACAAATTGGACTTAACATATAATCCATGTTAAGTCTATTTCAATTTATTTTTATTCTAATTTCATGTTAAGTCTAATTATTAGATTTAAAATGATTTAAATTAGACTTAAAACGATATAAAGTAGACTTAAAATGATTTAAACTAGACTTATCACGAATCAAACTGGACTTAACACGAACCAAACTGGAGTTAACATAAATCAAACTGGATTTAACATGAACCAAACTGGACTTAATATAAACTAAGCTAGACTTAACACTAAACTAGATTAAAATTAGACTTAACACTAAACTGGACTTGTTTTTAGACTTGAAACAAGTTGAGTTAGACATAACATGATTTAAATTAGACTTAAAAAAAATTAAATTATACTTAACATAAACTAAATTGGATTTAACATAAAATTAGACTTAAAACAAGTTGAATTAGACTTAACATGATTTAAATTAGACTTAGGGCCTGTTTGGTTCATTTCCTTCATTTTCCAAAACTCATTTTCCTTCACTTTCATCATTTTCCTTCACTTTCATCATTTTCCACCATTACAAATCTCCCACATCAACCAATAATGTGGTGATAACTCATCTCATCTCATCTCATCTCATTTCTTACTTTTAAAAATAAACTAAACACAAGAAATGTGTCACATCAATCAACTCATCCAACTCACCTCTCCCCATTTTCCTTTACTTTCTACCATCTTTAAAAATTACTCACATCATCCAATAATATGGTGCCAACTCATCCCATCTCATTAAATTTTTTCTTCCATCCCTTTCCTCCAAAAAAAATAAGGAAATTGATTTTCCTAAGTATGGGTCACATCATCCAATAATATAATGACAACTCATCTTCTCTCATCTATTTTCTTAGTTTTAAGAATGAACCAAACACAAGAAAAGAATATAAACAAGGAAAGTGGAGGAAAACATCAAAAATTACTCATCTCATCCAATAATATGGTGACAACTCATTTTCTACCATACTTTCTTTTATAGCTTTGACAAACCAAACATCTGAAAATAGAGGAAAACATCAAAATTCACCTATATCAATTTTCTTTCCCCCACCTTCCCCCACTTTCTGTATTTTTTTTACGAAACAAACATGCCCTTAATATAAACCGAATTGGACTTAACATGAATTGAATTGGACTTAACATGATTTATATTGGACTTAATATGAACCGAATTGGACTTAACATATAATTCATGTTAAGTCTATTTCGTTTTATTTTAAGTCTAATTTCATGTTAAGTCTAATTTAAATTAGATTAAAAATGATTTAAATTAGACTTAAAATGATTTAAACTAGACTTAACACGAATCAAATTGGACTTAACACAAACCAAACATGACTTAACATAAACTAAACTGGACTAAACACTAAATTAGATTAAAATTAGACTTTAAAGGAATTAAATTAGATTTAACATGAATCAAATTGGACTTAACATGAAACAAAATTAGACTTAACATGAAATAAGACTTAAAATAAGTTGAAATAGACTTAACATGATTCATGTTAAGTCTAATTCAACTTATTTTTAGACTTAAAATAAGTTGAATTAAACATAACATGATTTAAATTAGATTTAAAATAAATTAAATTAGACTTATCACGAATCAAATTGTACTTAATATGAATCAAATAGGACTTAACATAAAATTAGACTTAAAACATGTTAAATTAGACTTAACATGATTCATGTTATCTCTAATTCAACTTATTTTAGAACTAAAACAAATTGAATTAGACTTAACATGATTTAAATTAGACCTAAAAAGAATTAAATTAGACTTAACATCAACTAAACTGATAGATCTAGAGAGAACGAAGAGGGAGGAGGAAATGGGGGTATTTTGGGCTTTTTTGTTTGTTTCTCTCTTTTTGTGCTTAGTTAGCATGATTACATGAAAAAAAGGCTGCAGCACATGATGTGATATTTCTTAGGGCTGAACCACATGAGAAAAAAGTGGAGGGGCTACAAAAAATAAAGATTTTACTTTTGGGATCTTCACACAATTTTCACAAAAAAAAGAGAAAATTTTGTGCTTCCTAGCGAATCAAACCTGCAACTGCGAGAACTGCTACTTTGAAATCTATAATATTAGCTCTGTGCTACATTGTCCTAATTATTATCTTCCAAATTTTACTTTTTATATTAAATTTTACTATTCATAGTCCCAATAGAAGACCCATTAGTTTTAATACTAGATAAAAGTATTAATATTTTATAAAACTAATGAAGTAGA